CATGAAGGGCATTATGAGGTTCGGGAAGAAGGGCAAGTTGAGTCCAAGGTTTATTGGCCCCTTCGAGGTGTTGAGGAGAGTTGGGGAGGTTGCTTATGAGCTTGCTCTACCACCCAGATTAGCGGGAGTTCATCCAGTTTTTCATGTGTCGATGCTACGGAAGTATCATGCCGACTTTTCCCATGTGTTAGACTTCAGTACTATTCAGCTGGATGAGAGCTTGGGCTATGAGGAGGAGCCAGTTGCCATTATTGATAGGCAGGATCGCCAGTTGAGATCCAAGAGGATTTCTGCGGTAAAGGTCCAGTAAAGAGGCCAACCAGTCGAGGAGGCGACCTGGGAGTCCGAGGAGGACATGCGGAGCAGATATTATTCAGCAGCCCAGGTACTTTTCTATGTCCGTTCGAGGACGAACGTTTGTTTAAGAGGTGGAGAATGTAACGACCTGCCTGGTCGTTTTGCCTTTTTGAACCCCGTTCCCTTAAATAAAACTCCCCGTGCTTGCTTTATCTAATTTACGACTTGCTGAGACGGTTGGTTCGGGATTTGAAAGAGTTTCGGGTGAAATATGCCCATTTGATTCCTTAGGATTTTCTTAAAAGACTAAGTTTGACTTTGGTCAACATTTTTAGCAAACGGGCCCGGATTCGTGATTTGACGGTCCCGGAGGGTCCGTAGGAAAATATGGGACCTGGGCGTATGCCCGGAATCGAATTCCGAGGTCCCTAGCCCGAGTAGTGAATTTTTTTCTAGAAATTGTTAATTCGAAGTTTTAAGGATTTAAAGAAACTAAGTAATAATTGATTCCCTAGGTATCGGGCTCGTATTTTGGTTCCGAAGCCTGGTACAGGTCCGAAACATCATTTAAGACTTGCCCATAAAATTTGGTGTCAATCCGAGTAGAATTAGGGCGTTTTGGCCCGTTGGAGGAAAATTAAGAACTTAAAGTTCATAAATTTGATTCATTTGGTTTTAGGGGGTGAATTCTAGATTTAGCGTTGTTTTGCTTGTTCCGAAGGTTCGAGTAGGTCCGTCTCGTGATTTTAGACTTGTCGGTATGTTCGGGCGGGGCCCGAGAGCCCCGAGCGTCAATCAGACGAGGCTCGAGTGAAGTGAAAATTTTGAAAGAGGGCTGAAGAACTGCTGCTTCTGTCATAACCGCATCTGCGGTTCTTGGACCGCAGATGCGGTTCTTTGACTGCAGAAGCGGCCCAGGCGGCAAGCCAGGAACCGCAAATGCGGCTCCCAAGCCGCAGATGCGGCTCCCAGACCGCAGATGCGGTCCCAGCCTTCCCTCCCCCTTTCGCAGATGCTGTTGAAATCTCGCAGATGCGGGACCGCAGATGCGGTCCCTTTACCGCAGAAGCGGAAATCACTGAACTAGTGAGGTTCATTAAAGACGGGTTCTAAGTCATTTTTTTTTTACATTTTCACTCCTCATTTGTGCGATTTGGTAGCTTTAGAGGGAAGGTCTTCACTTAGCATCAAGAGGTAAGTTTGTTCCACCCATCCTTAGTTTAATGCTTGTATTTTAGGTAGATTGAACACTAGAACTTAGGCAAAATCAAAGGGGTTAGAGCTAAACCTAGGGTTTTGCTAAAACTTGAATTTAACCACGAAATTTGTTATGGAATTAATTAGAAATCATATATTATTGATCCTTAGGTTGTAGAGAACAACTCCCTTCGAAAAATTTCGGAATTCGGGCACGTGGGCCCGGGGTCGGATTTTTAGAAAACTTGTGTTAATGGTTGGGAGATTTCTTACATAGCTAGACTTCGATCCTATGAGCCTATATTAACTAGTTCCTACTTCGTTTAACTAGTTTGGGATCGTTCGGCTCCGAATTGAGGGCTTGGACTTGTTCTTGGCATTTGGAGTGCACTTTAGAGCGAGGCGAGTCTCTTTTCTAACCTTGTAAGAGGGAATTGTCCCCATAGGTATAATAATTGAATTAATTGTCATTATATTCGGGGGCTACGTACGCACTAGGTGACGAGAGTCCGTACGTAGCGACTATTGTGTTAAGTCCGGGTAGTCTAGGACCCATAAGCATGCTCTACATGATATTCTAGTACGTGTTGATTAATTCGGATTCATATGAACTATTTTGGGTAAGAAGAATGAGACTAGAGAATGACCCTTATCCTGTTTGGTCCTTTAAAGGAGAATACTTGGTATTTCTGTGTATGGCTACTCCTCATATACATGTTAATTGTTAATGTTGGTTGTTATTGAGCTTATTTTCTATTTGACCGCGTCGCACGGGTGATTCGCGAGCGGGGTAATAGATGCATCTATGGTTCGAGCCGTTCGACCCTCGGCAGTGCACAGTTTATTTATGTTGGATCGGGCCGTACGTCCCACAGTGATTATTTGCGCATGTTTTGCTTAGAAATCCTTCAAGGGCTGAGTTACATATTTGCTTAGACTATAGACAAGCATCCTTGTTAGTGTTTGGGAAAGAATTGTTACTCCATGATTATTAAATGTAAATAGCTTGAGATATCAATGCTTATTATAAACTCTTCTCATATTAATTGACCCTAGTAAGTATCGAGTCGACCTCTCGTCTCTACTTCTTCGAGATTAGACGGGATACTTACTGGGTACATATTGTTTATGTACTCATACTACGCTACTGTACTTGATTGTACAGGGTCTGAGGCAGGTACATCTGACTACCAGTCGGGCGCGCACCACTAAGCAGATTTGATATTCCTACGGTGAGCTGCTTTCCTTTCCGTGCCGTGCAGCAGCTTGAAGGAGTTTTCTTATGTATTTATGCTGCCTATTCTGTTCAGACAGTAGGGTAGTATATTTTGTTGTACATTCTACTAGTCGCCCACTACTGACACTAGGTCTTGGCACACACTTTAGTAGACATTATTATTTTGGGTTGTATGATTACTATGATTTTTATCTATCATTTCTAATCTGCTTCCAACTCAAAGAATTACTTCAACTATTTTGGGGTTAAAATGATCGAAAGTTTAATTTGTATTCTTTCGCATTGGCTTGCCCAGCGACAGATGGGTCGTGACAACAACTCACTCTCTCCCTCTCAGAAACTGTACACACTCTTCTCTATTTCTTCTTTCTCTCTTTGTTAATTTCTCTCTTTTAGACTTCCATTTTTGCTGCATGTTAGATTTTCTGTGAAATAAACCGTCTTAATTTGGCTTTACAGTTTTAAAATAAGCTCCGGTACAAAATCTGTAATCACCTCGCTCACCGGTAGTAGCCCATGCACACCTGATCAACCGCTGAAGCCTGCTGTTAATTTCTCGACTATTTCAAAAGCTTCCTCTATACCTGAGTTTCTCATTTAAAATCAACGTATCGAAAAAATGACTTTTCTCGTGTACGAAAAATCCTTATGAACCGGGAAAATAAGCTTAGGATAAATGTAGGTTGACATTTGAGATGTATAAGAGGATAGATGAATTGAAGGGGGAAAAATGGAAAGCGGATGCTAGAGTAAAGGATTTGGAGCAAAAATTAGATGACCGGATGTCACATTGAAAGGAAAAAATGGCGAAAGATGTGGATGTTTCAGTCGTTTGAGAAATTCACAAGGATTTGGAGCTAGAGATAACAGAAGGTTTTGAAGCGAATCGTCAAGCTTCTGGGGGTGTTAAGGAGACTGCAATTCATAAAAGTTTAGGAAGTGAAGTTAATCTCGACAGTAAAAATTTGGACTGGACCAAGGAGAAGCAGTTTTCAACCGGGGCTCATTGGGGTTGTGATTTCAACTGGAAACAGAACTGGTCAATCAGAAAGGGAAGGTATTACACTTTATCTGGACCTTTGTGTCACTTCTGTTAGTTACCTTGCACTATCGCCTACAGTTATTGAGTGAAAACTATATTTTTGTTAAATGTGCATTGTCCTTCGTTAGAAAATGAGTAGCGGTGGCACCTGCAGTTGTATTATGCAGGGGCGGGTGGATTGTTGTAAAGCGAGTTCATCTGAATCCGGTACTTCAATGCGAAACATAAATTCATGTGTAAAAATGTACTAAAATTGCAACAAATAATAGGGAATGCATTATTATAAAAATACCATGAGTTCAATGCTAAAAACTTTAAAGGCTGAACCCATAAATTTAAATCTTGGATCCGCCTCTGCATCATATTTGTACATCCCTCACAATCAGTTATGGAACCATTTAGTATAGCTCAGCCCACGCCATACTCAATAAGCCTTTGGTTACTCAAACTTCACCAAGTAGGCCTAAATTTCAGTGTGGCAATTATGGAACATATAGTGGGCATCAAACTGACTGATGTGTGTGCACATGTAGATAAGTGTTGTGCCCTCCCAAGAAGCTGAGAGTTATAGTTCAAAACTCCATTAAACAATTCCACTAGCTATCTGTTTCAACAATTCGAATCAACTAGGACAACAGACATCCATCATATCTATAAGTCTTCAAAAACTAACCTTAGGGAGAGAGGGAGAGGGGGCTGAGAGAGATTCAAGATGAGAGAGATAGAGTAGAAGATTACCTGAACGCCGTGGAGTTTGAGGATGGCCAGTAAAAGGTGGCAGGCTGGTGGAGATCGCAGGGGAAGGCCGGGGGTGGAGAGTGAGAGGGGGCTGCGTGAAAGGAATTATTAGAAAAATAAGAGTGGAGGTTTGAGTTTTAAGTCTTTTTGTCCAATGCATCAAAAATGGGCACACCCCTTTAGAAGGTAGACAAGCACCATGTAAAGGTATCTTATTTCTTCCAAAGTGTAAAACCTTTTTCTGACTAAAAGGTAGAAATTTAAAAGCAACTATTGATAGGAATAATCTTTTACTTGCTACTTTATTGTTATATTCTAGCAGATTTAATGAACTTAGCAGTGAGTTATATAATTCCTTCCTCCTTTTTATCATATTTATTTTATTGACATGTCGTAGTTCCTTCTTCCTTATTAGCGTCTTAAAACAATGGCCTTGTCCTCCCTTTCAAATTGTTTCGTGTTAGCTATGCGTTGTTGCCAGTTGATTGATGAAGGAAAAGAAAAATGCCATTTCAGGAAAAGGGGTTTCTGTAGCAAAACAAGTCCATGGTAGCAGAACTCTAAATCTAAAATTGTATTTGTACAATCTAGTTTTCACTGCTTCACATATTAGATCTGCTTTAAACTGCTACATGTTCTATCTTGGAGTCTTATACTAAAAGCCTATCACTATCTCTCTGACTCTCTCTATCTACCTATATAAGTGATATAAAACCAACATCATCATTATCCTCAATCCTCTCCCGTCTGGAGTTCTTGAGGAGCGGTGAAGCATCACGTTCAGTTTCATTTTTCTTCTCTCCATATACCAGCGTATTGTTACATTGGAGCAGGATTTGCAGAACCTGCTTCATGGTCGGCCTTGATGAAGGAAATGTGCTAGTGCAGAAGATCCCGAGCTTAAACACATTGCTCATTTCATCCAAGTATTGTGGCTCCTTTATCGCCTCGTCTAAGACATTGACTATGGGATATCCTTGTTGGATACGACGCCACGCCCAGTCTGCAAGGCACGAGTCCTCGTCTCCATAATTGGCTTCTTTCCCAGTTACCAGTTCCAAAAGGATGACTCCGAAGCTATATACATCGATCTTCTCATTCACCTTAGTTGTACGCGCATACTCTGAAAAAGCAATATGGAAATGAAAACATATTCTAGGCCAACTATATCGGGACTTGTAATATTGTAAGATAGCTGTACTTTACCTGGAGCGATGTATCCAAAAGAGCCAGCCACTGCTGTCACTGTATTATCTCCAGGCTTGGCCAGTATTCTGGCGAGGCCAAAATCTGCAATTTTTGCATTGAAACAAGAATCCAAAAGGACATTGCTTGATTTCACATCGCGATGAATAATAGGTGGCGAGCAGTCGTGGTGCATGTAGCACAAGCCTCGAGCAGCTCCAATTGCAATTTGCAGCCTCTTAGGCCATTCCAATACTAAATCAGAAACATTGCTTAACCTCTTATTCTGCTGAAGCCATATATCCAAGCTCCTACTCTCCATGTATTCATAGACAAGAAGCTTTGAATCTTCACTGGATATACAACACAATAGTTTCACTATATTGGAGTGTCGAATTGTGCCTAATATTTGAACTTCAGCTAGAAACTCTTTCTCAAGCTTGTGATCCAACTTCTGGTTATTCCAAATCCTCTTGACAGCAACATAGTTTCCTGAACGGTTTAATGGCACGAGGTAGACCTGTCCTGATCCTCCACTCCCGATTGTGTTCTTTTCAGTAAGATATGGTACAATATCTGCCTCTGTGAAGTCTAACTTGTGAAATGAGGTGAGTTTCCATGTCAAAACCAATTCTTGCTTTCTTTTCCTATAGCTTCTCAACACGAACAAACTATATAGAGCAGCCACCAGTACTGTTACTCCACCTACACTTGCTAGAGCAGCAAGAAGTTTGACCGGGAGCTTATCGGACTTCCCCGTTTTCCCCTTGCAAAAGCCAAGTCCTACTGATGGATTACTTGCACAAAGACCAGGGTTGCTTAAAAAGCTCCGATCAAAAGCTGCATTCTCTAACTCAACCGGGATTCTACCAGTTAGGCGATTGGAAGAAAGGTTGAGTGAGGTTAGCTTCAAGTTACCTATCTCAGGTGGAATTTCACCTGATAACAGGTTACTTGACAAGTCCAAGTCAATAAGGTTTGGTAAAAGGCCAAGTGCAGCTGGTATTTGTCCTGAAATCTGATTTCTGCTGGTTTTTAAAGTAGTAAGAGAATTCCAAGAGACTATATTCGACGGAAAACTCCCGGATAGTTTATTACCATCCAGCAAAAGTTCTGTTAACTTTGGAAGAACAGTCAATTCTTCAGGAATTTTACCAGTAAAGAGATTATTGCTTGCTCTGAATACTCTTAAATTGTACCAAGTACCCATTTCAGCTGGTAATTCACCTGAAAACTGGTTGTTCCTGATATCAACCTGAGACAAATTTGATGCCACTCTTTCTGGAAGTTGACCAGTTAATAAGTTATCATTTAACAAGAAAGTTGACAAATTCTTTGCTGTCCACAAACCATCAGGAATCTTACCAGTAAGCCTGTTTTTTTCAACTCGAACGGCCCTCAAACTATTACAGTTTCCAAGAGATTCTGGTAGTTCACCTGTAAGATTGTTATTAAAAGCAAGCATCACAACCAAGACCTTGTTATAACATAGAGCCTCTGGTAATTTTCCAGTAAACTGATTTTGGGAAACCTGGAAATCTCTGAGCATCGAAGACCGACCAAAATCCGGTGGAATTTCACCAGATAAGCTGTTTCCAAAAAGCTTAACATCTACCAATACTGGCAATTTGCCTATGCCTATTGGTAAATTCCCTGATAATTGGTTCATAAACAGAGATAACCCTGTCATTTTGGTCAGCTCTCCAAAATTTTCTGGTATCTTCCCTGTTAAGCTGTTGTTAGACAAATCAATAACCTCCAAATTGAAGGACTCAATAATCTGAGGAATCTCTCCTGTCAGTCTATTGGTATAGAGATAAACTATGGTCAAATTCTTTGGCTGAAACAAACTGTTAGGGATGCTACCACTCAACCCATTTATCGATAAGTCCAATAATTCCAAAGCAGACATGTTGCCAATGCTTTCTGGGATTTCTCCTATCAAATTTGTTTCACTCATCCAGAATTTTTTGAGTTTCTTCAACTTGGTAAAACTTGATGGTATTTCTTGAGGTGCAAACTTATTGAGATTCAGAACTAGAGATTCAAGATGCGCCAAGTCGCCAATTTCAGCAGGGAAAGAGCCATGGAAAGAGTTGGAAGCAAACTGAAGTTCTTTGAGCTGTTTTAAACCCCCAATTGCTGGAGGAATGTCACCAGTAAAGAAGTTTGCTGTTATGTTGAAGTACTGAAGCTTAGGCGAAAGCCGGTTGATGTCATTAGGGAGGCTGCTGTTCATGAAGTTAAAAGAAAGGTCTAAGTATTCAAGATTGGAACAGTTGTAAAGAAGAGTAGGGAAAGGACCAGGGATGAAGTTGTAGTTAACATCAAGAAAGGTGAGGTTTTTGAGGTCACAAATAAATGGTGGGATTGGTTTGGAAATGTTGAGATTAACGAGACGAATGGCGCTGACTGAATTTTCATGTGTGCAGCTGATCTCCGGCCAAGTGCAGTGGTCTGATGATGAAGTCCAGTGGTTGAGGAAGAAGGGAGAAGTGGTGGACAATTGTTGTTTTAGTTGAAGTAAAATGGTTTTTTCTTGATTGGAGCTAGGCTGGGAATTTACATGAAATGTGAAACAGATAAAAGTGAAAATGCAGAGAAGGATTTGGGGAGATGGGATTATTCTAGTTTTGGACATCTTTGTGAGGAAGATAGTTTTCTATGGGTGATGATTGAAGGAGTGTTGAAAATGAACCATGTTGTTGGCTTGGTAACGGCATCCCTCATCCCTGCTAACTTATAAACTATGGACAGTAATATCATAATACTATTCAAATTCTGTGTTCATTTTTTAATCAATTTCCCTTAGCTCATTGTTAGTCTTCTTAAATCTTAATCAATCATTAAAGCAACTCTTAGTATTTTACTTATTTTTCTATTTTCTATCTAGAAGAGAGGTTTGTTCTAAGTGGAATAATTAGCTAGAAGACTAATCCTCAACCGCAAAGCATGGTGTGAACTTTTTTCTCGCTGGTGGCGTAGACTTTGGGTCAGTCAACTAAATATATGGAGTATATCTTTCTATTGTACACACTTCACTGATTTGATCTCCAACAACTTTTTTGTTGTTTTCTCGTAGAACTTATATTCAGGTTCCATGGAAAAGCATCTTTTAACATTTAGATACCTTGGTTCATGCACAATTGCGTACCAAAAAATCACTTGACATGGAAGCTTAGTATTTTAGTACACGTTAATTCAGAGCTAGTGGTTCTAATATATTACTCCCTCCGGTCCACAATAAATGATTTTTTGGCTTTTTTTTTGTGGTCCAAGATATTTGATTTTTTAATATTTCAAGAATGAATTAATTATTTTTTTCCTACATTGCCCTTGGAGTAAATAGTGTTGGAGTATGCCTTAGGAGTGTTTATGTGAAGAGATACTAAAGGTTAATATGATCAATTTTATTGTTAATTAATGTTAAGAGATGAATTTTTTAATTTATATGAAAACAATAAGAAAATCAAGTATTGTGGGCCAGAGAGAGTAATTGTTTATCATAAATAAACGTGACATTGGACTAATAGGTTGATTTTGTTATAGAAACCCTTATAAATAAGATTAATTAAAATTTTCACCGTATTCCTTCCCATGTCCTCCGCAGCCGATTTTAGAGCGCTTCTCATTGTGAATCTAATTATTACTCCCTCCGGTCCAAAATAAGTGATTTTTTGGCCTTTTTTTTGTGGTCCAAAATAAGTGATTTTTCTAAATTTTAAGAATGAATTAATTATTTTTTTTCTACATTGTCCTTGGAGTAAATAGTGTTAGAGTATGTGTTAGGAGTATTTTTGTGAAGAGATAGTAAATGTTAATATGGTCAATTTTATTGTTAATTAATGTTAAAAGGTGAATTCCTTAATCTGTGTGAAAACAGCTAAAAATCACTTATTTTGAACCGGAAAGAGCATTATACATTATATAATAATTTGAAATAATGTAGAAATCCGTAAACTTCAAATAGTAAATCCGTTCCTCCGCTACCCCTCCACTCCTTTGCCACTACGAAGAAAATAAGTTATTTAAAGCATTAAAGATAGAAGCAATCTCAATTGGAAATCTCACATATTCATTGGTGGCGTATATTATTTGTTGTTAGTCAAGGAAGCTTCCTAGTTGAAACGTGTTTTAGAGTTATATACGGCAGAAAATATAGATAATAATGCCAGTCACAGTGACCCCACTTGTTATTAGAGTAGTACATAATTACAAGTAAATGGCACACCTCTGTTGACGGAAGACTCCTAAAGATAGTGCTCATTGACTTTGTAACCTTTTTGGTGAAGCATCTTGTTATCTTCCTTCCGTTTCATGAAGCAATGTATTGGCCAAATTAAGTTCCCTCATCCACATAAATCCACAAGAAAATGTCTAGTACTAGTGCAGACAATTTTTCTGCCCTAGTTAAATGCCAAAATCTCTAACATATTCAATTTTTTGCCATTGTCTGCCCGTCATCCTGATCATTTGCATACATCATCTCCATGTCCAAAGGGAGGTTAATCCGAGATTTGACTTGGGCTATTATCACTTTTAGCCCGCTCCAGAAATTATTTATATTTGATAGCAGAAAAGTATATATAATTTTTGTATACATACAAAAAATTACAAATTTTATAGTACATTTTTCGGCTATAATTTTTACAGCAGCTATACAGTGTCATTTTTCTAATTAAATTCTATAAGTTTAATCTTTAAGGTTTATGGAGCCAATGTTAAAGTTATGGATTTTTAACTTACTATTGTTGTAATTTTAGTAGATCTTTACACCTAAATTTATAATTTGCGTCGGAAGTACATGGATTATTATTATTATTATTATTATTATTATTATTATTATTATTATTATTATTATTATTATTATTATTATTATTATTATTATTATTATTTGGCTAAACACCTATATATCATTATTAAAAAATGTGGAGTATCACACAATCAACTATAACGTCTGTAATTTTAAATAATTAAAATATTAAATATTTTTAAAAAATATTAAAACTACACATTTAATTACCTCTCAAAAAATAAATAATCAATAAACTTTATAAGTAATATACTT